AAAATCCTGGAATGTTTTCATCAAAAACCTTAATTTCTTTTCGATTGAAGAAAGACATGGATATCTTGGATGACATAGGGGTGAGTAAATTAACAGCAATTTTTTTTTTAAAGTGAACTACTAATTTAAGGCCTGATACTCACGGCAAAGTTCTTTTCCGTTCTTTTCTTAGCGGTAAAACTAAGTTCACAAACAAAACTAACATCCGACACCACCCACTCTACTGAGAGCGAAGTTTAGATGAATGTTAATATGTGCTGCACATTGTTATTTCCTCTCAATAACAAAATAAATGGACAACAAAATTGAGAAAACCACTAGCATTTTAATAAAGTGTAAGAAAAGAATCTGATCATAGCAACGTCATAGATATGTTTGCACCAGCTCTGCAATTTGGCACCCTTGTGATGTCATATAACGCTTATTTATTGAACAATTTATACAAAAGATTGCTTAAAATCAAGCCGGTTTACCGTATTTAACATGAAAAACAGTGTACATCAGATGTCTACCCTCGACTGACTAAACAGGAGAAAGAAATCAGAAAATATTTCCACGTGAAAGAAGGCGCAGTCTCCACGCACACGTATAATCGCCAACGACCAATCGTAGCACGAAGGTGTTTTACCAGCCGTAGCAAACTTTTCCAGAAAGTTTCAGTTTTGTTTCAAACTCCCAAAACTCCGCATGAACTTCCTTTCGCCCTGATTTTGTTCGAAATTACATCACATCAGTTCAGTTCGTTCTTCGATTTTGAAGTATATCGGGGGCTGTGGGCCCCTGGGCTTTAGTCACAGTTCAGGCTCTACAAATGACCTTAACTGGAACAACATCATTATAGAGTAGCATAAGTAAACTAGGCCTTTGCTTTGAAGTTCCTATAACAATTAACATGTCTTGCCCAGTCAAAGTTTAGAGGTAATACTAAATAGCCATTACAATACAATATAATACAGGAGGTGCTCTCAGTAGCGAGAAGATATCAAAACTACTACAAGAATTATTTTTATAATTTTTTTGTCATATCTTTGGTCATTCTTAAATGTAATCAATACATTTAGTTATAAACAGGAATAAAAAGACAAAATAGGGCTATTACCAATCAAATGAGATCAGTATCAACAAAAGTGGCACAGAAGCTGCATCTGAAGTCGCATTTAGATTTAGATTTTAAAAGCAGCTAAGAAGGCAAGACATGAATACATTTACACTGCAATTACAATGACAATATGAGATTGACATTTGAAATATATACATTTTTTAAAAATGTAGAAATATGAAATGATTGAAATAATTAAAAAAAAAATATTCTGTTCAACAAAACCTCTGGTTGGAGGCAGCAAAAGTTGGAGGCAGCAGTGAATTAAATCATTTATTTAACCGATTCGTTAAAAATGTTCTTTCAGGAATGGAGCAAATGACTGTGACTGAATTCGGATTCTGAACAGCAGACTAGCATACTACATTTTTATTTAATGGTAAGAATAGTATGTGATTCCGTCGAATTCAGTATGTGTTTATGAATGGGTCATTGAATCATTTACTCTACTGATTCGCTCAAATGCGCTGATTCATTTAGGAAGGGAACAGCTTGTTGCTCAGAGACGCAGCTGATCTGCTATGGCTTTGTTAAGTGTGAGCAAAAACAGACTGTATGTGTCTGATATGAAAGTTACTCAACTTGTTTATTGAACTGTTGTGTAAAATGTGTTGATGTTCAGAAAAACAGCACTGCTTGGGTATAAAAGCAGCCAAATGGAGCTATTTAAAGTGATTACGAATAAACAGGAGTTAATAAAAGTTCAAATGTATGTATTTTTAAAAATACTTATGTGGGGTTAGCCCTGTCTGGCCCTGTTGCTGAGCTGTGATGGCAGTTTTACATTAGTTTGCCATCAAAACCATAAATGGCCACAGACTTTCTGCTGTCTCTTTGTTATTTTGGTAACTTTGTTTTATAGCAGTCTTATTTGCATGTAATTAATTTTATTTGCATGCTTGTTTAACCTTTAGAAAGTATTGCACATACAATTGCAAAACATTTCTGGCAGACTGGAATAATGTCATTGATACGGTATATACTGTAACTGTGGTTCTCTACGGTTGGCTGATTGTTATGGATAATGAGAAGCAGTGAAAATAAAAAATAAAAACACTTGCCATTTTATTTTCAGTTTTTCCCAAATGTTTGGCAGATAAATAAACAATGTAGTATTTTACCAGTTTTAAAATGTATTCCTGTGATGGCAAAGTGAAGTTTTCTGCTGCCATTACTCCAGTCTTCAGTGTCACATGATCCTTCAGAAATCATTCAAATACTGTTTGATGCACAATAAACATTTCAGTTGTGCCATTTGATAGTTTTGTGGAAACCTTAATACATTTTTTTTCAAGATTATTTGATGGAAAGTTCAAAAGCTCAGCAATTATTTGGAACAGAAATATTGTGTAAAGTTATAAATGATTTAGCTGTCTCTTTTGTTACATTTTATGTATCCTTGCTGAATAAAATTGTAAAAAATATATACAGCTTTTAGTAAATGTAGCACATTTAAATTTTTCATTATAATAATTCTGGTCTATAGAGAACCAATGGTATACTGGCGATTAAGCTATCTATAACAAAATACGAGACCTTTTTTGACCTTATGTCAATAATTTCGTCCTCCAATGTCATTCTAAATGTCAAAGAACCCCATAATGCAGACATCTATTTTTTGTAAGTTCACATGACCTAAAGCAGAGGTGGGTATTATCCAGGCATAATGCAATACTCATTTCTTGTAACTAACATCTCGCTTCCTCTTAACTCACCCTTCCATCAGTCTTTGTTTTGTCTGATTGTGATTCATTACTTTGGTGGTAAGGGTTGATAGACCTCTGTATCACGCTGCTGAGTTAGTAAATTGATGGCCCAAAATCAGGGGTGTCACTAGGATTTTCATTTTAGGGGGTCTAAGCCCCCAATGAGTGTATGATTTTTTTTATTTTTTATAATAACAAAAAAAGGCAACACTTTAGTTTAGGATCTAATGCTCACTATTAAGCAGTTTCAGGACCATGCAAAGGCAGAGTTTTATAATCACTGTTGTCCCGAATGTGAGGTAGGTTAGTTAGGGGGGGTTCAGGGTTTGCCTGAGAAAATTTTGATTTCTCTGATCTACAAATGTGCATTTTAGGATGTTTTGAAGGCCAAAAAAAATTTGATAACAGCTTTAAAACCATGTCACTGATTATTTTTCTCTCATTATCAGTATTATTATTGATCTTATGCCTAATATAGGGCCATAGAAAGGGCTTTATAATCAAAGAGGTCCTAAATTTGATGTACACATGCTGCTGGCCCGAGAATTTTCAATGCACCAATGCAACCATTGTAGAGGTGGGAGGGGTGCTACCACAGAAACTGAAAATTCTCAGGCCAATGTGTCCAATTTTCAATCTTAACCGTTCTATTTCATCAGAAACGATCTTAAAACACAGCTTTAAGTGTAAAATACCGTACTTGTCCTTTAATAGAAACCGCTTAAATAATATTTTTGACTATTTTTATGACCACTAGGGGGAGACAGTTTCACAGCTGTTATTTTATTCTGAAAGCACCATGTAACATTTCTGTCTTGATCTTAAAATGTTAGAAAACCTCTTACTGTATTAAGTTTACTGCTGTTTTAGTAATTCACCTTCCATTACATTTGACTTTTCATAACCTTAAAGATCATAACCAAAGCATTTGCAATTTAGCATTGAACAGAAGCTTCATTCAAGGTTCACATTTTTGCCAGAATATTTACTCACCCCCTTGTCATTGCAAACGTGTCTGACACTTTCTTCTGCTGAACACAAAGTAATTATTTTCTGGTGCATGTTGGGGTCGAAACAACATTGTACCCCATTAATTTTTATTGTATTGAGAAGAAGCTTTTTTTCAAAATAGAAAACCATACAGGGTTGGAACAACATGAGGGTGAGAAAATGATGACAGAATTTTATTTTGTAAGTATACTAATCCCTTCAATAGCCAATGATTATACATTTCCAATCAAAATCGTTTTGATTATGTATTTTAATATTAACTCCTTGTGTATCCCACAAGAAAATGGGTTCTGACATGAGGACGCAAATGATCTTAATGAAATGTGACTCAATTGGACTGACTGAATTTAGACATGTGAATGGGGATTTCTGCATTTTAGACATTTTACTTACCAAAAAATTAACTTTGATTATTAAATTGAACGGTTATTGTATGTTGCTTCTATCGTAAAAAGCGACATCTTGTACATTACCATTCAAAAGTTTGGGGGCAGTATAAAAAAAAAAAAAAAAACTTTTATTCAACAAAAGATGCATTAAATTGGTAAAAAAGTGTCAGTAATCTGTTTCAAATAAAGGCTGATCTATTTAATAAGAATCCTGAAAAAAAGTGAATCATGTTTTCTACAAAAGTATTAATGTAATTTATCAAATGAATGCAGCTTTAGTGAGCATTAGAGACTTTCAAAAACATTTTTTTTTTTTTAAATGACGACTTGTGAACAGTAGTGTATGTGAAGCCTTAACCATCATCATGTAAGACTTGAAGACCATATCATAATATCATCATGTACTATCATGGTAGAGTACAATGCTAGCAACACCCTGGTTATGGATTCAATTTCCAGGAGCAGGTTATAAAAACACACGAAAGCAAGTCGCTTTGGATTAAAACCTCTGACGAATTAATTAGACATTCATCTGACGTTCAAGTGTATTTGCATGCTTCAACTTGTGTAGGTGAGATCTTGAGTTATCAAATTTTGATGAAGTCACTTCCCTAATAGCTCACAGTAGATCAGATGTAGTCGTGTGAAGTGTGTTGACACGCATGTCCACATGAGTGTTTTGCTGACCCAGCCTAACCAGTGATTCACCACACTCCTCCAGACTCATTACATTCAGAGGGGACGGAAGAGGACACAAGGAAAGGGATGAGGGACAATAAAGTGCCCTTGTTCCTCTCTCACAGAAGCTCACAGGATTTAGGTCATTTAGGGGAAATGGAGGAGGTAATAGACAGAAGAAGAGAAGTTGTGGACACTACTGTAAGACTTCATGACTAAGGATTTCCCTGTGACTGTTGATCGCTCTTCTCCCTCTCTCTTTCTCTGTGGCAATTGGTCACGAGTGGCGGCGCTATCAGCCAGCACAGTCTCAAGTATAAGAGCCACGCTTCATCATGAAGGTTATGCATTCTGTTATGACTCCACTTGGGTTTGGACTTACATGAGGATTGTGTATTTGTGGTGAATAGGACGAGATAATCATTGACTGGCCTTCTTCATTTGCACTGGCCGTCTACGACTGCATATAAGGTATAGAGAGTGAATCATTACCGAGATTTGTGTAATTTGACATCAGCGATGCATAGCGGGCTTGAATATTAATGGGCACACATATTTAGTGAAAGTCATCTCAATGGTTGGGAAATGTGTTTTACTGGAAGTCTCACATTTAACAGATATACTTGGAGCTATTTTAAACAGTTTATAAGTTTTTTGACTTGTACTCGCTTTTATTATGATGGCCGTAGTATTGTGGGATACATCAGTGGCAGAGACCCATTAGCAGGTCTTGATGGAGTCACTGGACTTTTCTGTGCTGATTTATGAGGTGTAAATCTGCAGATTAGGTTTAAATATAGCTTAATAAAGTGTGTTTAACAGAGCTGATAGTTTACCTCTATTGGTGTGCTGGAGAACGATAGTTGTTAGTGTAGTTTCAAAGCTGTTTCACTGCACTCACACAATATGGCTATAACATTAAAAAGCACAGTGTAAAATAATAAAGCATAATATATTTAGCAGTAGATATACAAACAAAGGATTTTTTTCAAATGGTCTGGTGCCACTCAAATTTGATCTCGCCTTGCGCATTTTAAAACGCAGGTTTTTTTCTCCCTACATTCACAATAAATATTAGCAGTATTATGTAAGAGCTACTTTTCAATTGCATTCCCTATTTTTTTATTTATTTTTTTATTTTTTATTTTTTTACAGAGACAATTCACAATCTGAATATTAGCAGTGTTATTTAAAGGAATGGTTAACTTTGAAATTAATTTTTAATATGTTTTAGCTTACCTCAAGGGCATCCAAGATGTCGATGTCTTTGTTTCCACAGTATTTTCAATTTTGATATTTTTATGTCCATTCTTGTCTGTCAGTCATATAATGGAGGTATATGGGGTCCACCTCAAAGAGCATGCACAGAGAAATGTGCAAATTAAACATGATTTAATGACTCGTAAATGTAAGAAATGAAACGAGCGGTTTGTGTGAGAAAACTAACAGTATTTATATCATTTTTACCTCTTGTAATCACAGTCACGTCCAAGTGATCTGAAGGCACGGGCGCTTCGGTCTGCGCAAGCACCGGAAAGCCCCGGAAGTGATCTCTCGCACGTGTACGTCACTCTTTGTTTACACAGAGATTTCAGAAGTGTTGCCCTTCACTGAGAAGATCTAAACATATTTAGATATACATGAAATTGCAATGGAAGACGATTTCAAAATATAAACGGACAACGTTGATTTTTTTTTTCGCAACCGCGCAAGAGATCACTTCCGGCAATTTCCGGCACTTGCCGAAGTGCCCACGCCCTCAGATCTCTTGGACGTGGCTGTGGTTTCAAGAGGTAAAAACTATATAAATACTGTTCGTTTTCTCACAAAAAACGCTCGTTTAGTGTCTTAGGCCATCAAAGTGTACTTACATTTACGAGTCATTGAATCATGTTTAATTTGAGGAAGACCCCAGACCTCCATTATATGACTGACAGACAAGAACGGTTTGACCTAAAAATATCAAAATTGAAAATACTGTGGAAACAAAGACACCTACATCGTGGATGCCCTTGGGGTAAGCTAAATTAAGCTAAAATAATTTCAAAGTGAACTATCCCTTTAAGAGCTATTTTTCAATTGTGGTCCCTATTTTATTTATTTTATTATTTTTACAGAAATAGTTCACAATTATTATTAGCAGTATAAAAGCATTTCAAGAGCTTTATGGCCAACAACAAAAAAACATATCCTGTACTGGAGGCATCTGCTCTAAGATCATTGGATCACACTGAATACAAAGATTGTGGTTACATTATCAAATCTTTATCATCAGCTGAGTTACACGTCATTGTGCAGAATAACTTAACGGTGTTGTTGGGTCTATAAGAATAAATGCACTGTACAGGTTTAATTCTCACAGTTTGGAAAGAAGTTTAATTAGATGTTTCATGGTTTGACCCAGAAATCAACTGTGCATATAAATAGATATATCTTCGATACACCTGTTGCCTTGTTACTTGGACCGCTAGAAACAGTGCAGCCGCAACTATCTGCAGTATTCTTTCTCATCACTCCGATTCATCCAGCCACAACCGGACACCTCTTCATGTTACTCACTGGACAAAGCATGGCCACTAATACACATCTCTGTGTTTCTCTTCCAGTTTTTCAGCCCACTCATAGGCAGGCACCCAGTCATGTAGAGAGCAGCGCGTGGAGGACACCCAGATCACTTTCAGCACTTTCTACACAAAGAGGTAATTGTGAGATATTTCTCACAGAGACAAATGAATAAAGGCACAGAAAGCCATGGAGAATACAGCGTTCAGCGTGTGTCCGAGTGCAACTGGGCTTGTCTGTTAGGAAAATCCATTGTGTCGTTTGTGTATTTTCCCGTAAATGCCAGACAAAGATGGAAGTTGCATTTAGGTTGTATTGGGTTATGATTTCCTGTTGAACGAGTGAGTAATAAGTGACACGGGTTGAGTAAATATAGTACCCCCCCTGAATGAAATGGCCCAAATAAAAGGGCTTTATATAAAAAGCATATTCGACATTGTTTTTACTAATAGAAACCTTTTTTGATCCTTCCCAAGTCCATGAATATCTTTGCACGTGGCTCTGTCTGCACATCACAGCATTTGCAATCTTAGATGATTTATTTTTAAAAAGACTTCTCAATAGTGGCATTGTCTGATAATAATAAACAATTATATTTTCCACTGCTTCAGAGTCAAGAGGTCAGATAGTAATTGACTTGGCAAAGACGGTAGAAACGAGGTTTAGAAACATGTTGTTTGCGTATGTTTTAAAAATTTTGAAAGAAGTCACCCACAGGTCATTGCAGTTGTTAGATAAGTTAGAATCTAATCAAGTTAGTCTACACACTAGAACATAATTGAGCTTGACAATGCTCTAGATTATATCAAGAATTTTGACACACTTGTACAACACTGACACTTCAGGAATGTAGGAGTGTCATCCCATGTCATTTGTGTATTTCCACTATTTTTTTTTCTTCTAGATGGTAGATATAACTACTGGTGGTATTAAGATTAAGTGTATATAGGCCTAAATTTCTTTAGATAAATTAATACTTTTATTCAGCAAGGATGGGGGATGGATTAAAGGGACAATGTGTACTTTTTTAGGTATCTGAAATCAATATTTTCATTCATAAATATGTCCTCAATGGTGTGCAAATACTTATAATAAGCTCTGACTTATCCTCAGAAACGAAGAATTTATTTTCTTTAAATACATGGGACTGGTAGGTCCACGGAGGCTTTGATGTAGTTCCGCCATCTTGAAAAACTATAATAGCAGAGAGGGACAAAAAGTACTAGGCCAACGCGTTTCCACAACGCGTTTTCGTTCAGAGCCAGTGTGACGCAACCGAAAGCATCAGAAACAGAGGAGTAGAGCAGTGAGAGTCACTGCCCCGGCAAGTTTAAAAGGCTGCATTCCACTGTTATGTTTAATGGTGGACCATACATATGCCGAGCCACAGGAGAAGAAATCCTTGTCGCCAAAAAAGTTGGCGATGATATCTAACAATGCACGTAGAAAATATAACATTGATTTTAAGAAATGTTTCTTGAGCAGAAAATCAGCATATGATGTGACTGGGGTAATGATGCTGAAAATTTAGATTTGCCATCACAGAAATAAATTCCATTTTAAAATATGTATAAATAAAGTTATTTTAAATAGTTATAATAATAATAATAATAATATTTTCATATTTTAACAATTAAATGCAGCCAAACAATATACTGTTTTTATATACACATTATATTTTAAAACGGTCTGGAAAAAACAGCTGTTGTAGAAAGTATGTGATGTATTGTGTCACTGCTGTGTCAGGATTAAGTTGTCTTGCCTCTTGGACTAAATCCAGCAATCCGTTTAATCCAGCATATGACCACTTAACTCTTTCCCAACCAGCATTTTTTTAAAGTTGCCAGACTGACAGCATTTTTGGTTATTTTCACAAAATTTCATGCACCCCAAAATATTTTGTTGTATGAATATCTGATCATAATATATATATATATATATATATATATATTAGGGGTGTAACGGTACATGTATTCGTATTGAACCGTTTCGGTTCGAGGCTTCCGGTTCGGTACGCATACAAACCGAACGATTGCTTGGACCATTTTTCCTGCCGGCAAAATTCGTGCTGACGCGGCCAACACAACATTGCGCAACATCAAATGGCAAGCGTAATGAAAGCAGAACGAAACTGCGCTCCTCGTTATGTGCTTCACGGATCGTTTATCAGTTCGGACCAGCAACATCTGTGCAGCGCGAGCCGATCTCGATCAAGCAACACTGTTACTTCACAGCGCTAAGAGATCCGGTAAAGAAAACATTTGAATTCGCCACTGAGGTAATAACATCGCTGCGAGATCTAGTGAGATGCATTCACATTTCTCCTTTATAAACCTTAGATCTCTATTAGATCAAACAGCGCTGTCATGGAAACCAGGAAAAACATTGTGCCGTGAATGAACTAGTGTAATACTTTACGTCCACAGACCAGCAACATTCACCATGGATTTAATATAGAAACACTAACTGAAACCAGTTTGGCTGGAATGGTGAAATGCTTTCAAGTACTTCACACATCTTTTTCCAGCACTTCAAAATTCAAATATTATATAAATAAATATATATTTAAAAGTTATTTTTAATGTGATGACCAAAACATTATTTGTTCATCCTTCAAAGATGATAAACCTGAAAGTTTCAAGATCTAGGAAAACTCGCACTTATTTAAAAATATTTTTTTCTTTAAACAAATAGGAAATTTCTCTGGCATTTCTTTCTTTTTGCTGTATCGAAAACGTACCGAACCGTGACTTTAAAACCGAGGTACGTACCGAACCGTGATTTTTGTGTACCGTTACACCCCTAATATATATATATATATATATATATATATATACATACACTGTATATATATATAAAGAGAACAGAATCTTTTTTTTCTGTTCTTTTTTTTATTTTTGATTTTATTCTAGCTTCATACATTCTTTTTGTTTTATCAACACTTAAATGTGATCATTAAAAAAATCAGGTAGGTTTCATACAAAAAAGCAGCATTTTGAACAAAAAGCTGAGAAAATTGTTTCTTTTTTTTTACTTTCATTCAGTAATATTTCTATGCTGTTTAATGTTTGATGATCATGTTCGCTTACATGTGCATAAGCAATGCTTCTATCACTTTTTTTTTTTTTTTTTTTGCATGTTTTTGGATCCGGATATTCTATACAATGCGTCATAGCACCCCTATCATATAACAGTGATAACCATGGATTGCCGGAAAAATTCCGTCAATGGTGGGGAAGCTTTAATAATAAATGACAGAAAAACATCAATGGCAGGGAAAGAGTTAAAAGTGGAAGGTCATGGAAGTTCATGGAGGTCTTATTCACGTGAAAGCTGGGAAACCTGAAAGTGTTTTTTCTCTTTTGATGTTAAGTAAATTGTCATTTTCACCATTCTCAGTGTCAATCAACAGTGAAATGAAACAGTGTAGAACAGTTTTGGATTGAGGACAGCGGATTAGTGACTTTAAAAGCAGAAGTTTTAGTGATGTTTATTTACTTGATTGCATGAGTTTGCGAGTGAGGTAATCGCTGTGTTGTTGAGAGCCCAAAAGGCATGACCACACTGCACATGACACAAGCATCATTTGGGGATTTTTCTGTTTTTATTTTCTGGAAATCATGGGACCCTAGATGATATTCAGTTTATCAATCAATGTGCTCCATTTTGTTTTAAAAATCTCTGCCATCTTTGTGCTTATTTTACGGAATTCATAAAAACGATAGATAATATATCAGTACTATATTTAAGTTGTTGTTTATGTTTTTTACATTTATGCATTTAGGAGACACTTTTATCCAAAGCGACTTACAATCATTCATCAGAGAGCCAACAATCGTTTTAGTACACATTGCTAGGTTTATTAAACAACTAGATTAAGAAACCTGCAACAAGAGAAGAAATGCAGAATTGTTTTAAATGATCATATTATGTTATTTTTAGCATATTGGTAACGATTAGGCTAACGTAAAAGTTCAACATTAAAAAATAGTACTTAAATGCTATCTTTAGCAAATCTCAAAATGAGTGTACATTTTGTTTATACTCTACACTATAATGTTGTGATGCCTACATTTGCTTGTAGATTATTTATTTTGACAATAGCATATCATTTTAATATCTGCCATTTGTCGTTATTTGCTCCAGTTGAATTCCTTGTAATGTTTGTGACCTGGTTTGTACCAAATCAAAACTCAAATAAAGCAGCTTTGTGGAAAACTGACGCTCTTGATTGTCTTGAGGAAAAAGAGGAAGGAAAAGGGTGCTGTGAAGACACTGTCAAAAGGTTCAACTTCCTACTTGAGTGATGTCCTTCCCTTACCCATCCCACCTAGCGTTATCCCGGCGAGTGTTAATCCCATGTGCGAGTGTGAATCCTTAGAACATGCCAGATAAATTGGCCAGAGCATGGAAAGTTCACTGTGTGCTGCAGAGTCATTTTACACAGCAGCAGTCTATTACCCTGAGGGAACAGGGTGTCTCTGCAAGGAACAGGAACAGAAAGTGTGGGTGTTATTTTTGGTTCCGCTTGCCTCGCTGCTTTGCTAGAAAGGGCGGACGGTAAATCAAGGGTGGGCAGAAACTGAAGACGAGCCAATATAATCAGGTACTTTACCAGACCCTTGCCCACCATTCCTGTGCAGGTTACTGCAGTGTCAGAAACCCCACAACTATGATGTATTCATATTTGCATATAAGGAGCAGTTTCTAACCAAATCTCAGAATTGTGAATGCCTGATATTGCAGACGTTAACTCTGAACACAAACTGATCACTTTAGCTACTCTGGCTAATGCTAATGCTCATTGCATTCTAGGAAATAATGAAGACCTAAGCAAGCTATTCAATTCCCTGGAAATGTCTGCCATGCTATACTGAAATAGTAGTCATATGTTTCAAATAACCTGCAAATTGTTTTATTTTTGTCCGAATCAACTTTTAAAATGGCCATTAGTACATAAGGATACATTTCTGAATGAATACATTTCTGTATTCATTTTGTGTAGTTACATTATCTAGTAGTTGGGGCTAGTTGGCAAACCTTGACCACCCAGTGTATTAGTATTCTTGCATTAGTATTCACACACAAGTATTCTGGGGGCATTTCTTAGATTTATGTTTACATTTGTTTGAGTATTGGCCTGGTTAGTGCATGTGCTCTGACATATGGTGTTTGGATAGGCAATGTGAGTTTTTTTGTTGTTTTTTTTCCACATTATCACTGTCTTCGCCACTTAATGAAGACATGCATTATATTTTCCACCAATTGTTTGCAACTAATAATAATATATCACAGTATTGATCTTTGCTGTGTTAAAGGGGTGATGAACTGAGAAATCAAATTTTCCTTGAGCTTTTGACTTCTAAAAGGTCATAATATTATAAGAATATCCTGTAAGTTTCAGAACTGAAAACGTCCTTGTTAGTCCAGTAAAAGCTTTTATTGACACCAGCCCAAGCAAACGACTCATTTTTAAAAGTGGGGAACTATGACGTCAAAGAGGATAAAACACCACCCCCGCAGAAGAAGATCAACGCCTACTTCAACACGGCTGGTTTAGCCCCGCCCACCGATTCGCACATTACACACAGAGCTAAATAACATAGGCCTACCTATGTTATTAGGTATGACAAACTGGATCGAGCTACCGAGCAATATAAAATATTGTGCAGTGCCTGGTTGTGGAAGAAAACAGTTGCTGCATAAGCTTCCTCTGGATTCCAATAGGAATGTATGGTTAAACTTCATTTAATGACATTCCAACTGATGAAGGTAAAACATTGTCCATCTGTTCGCTTCATTTCACTGAGGATTGTTTTGTAAAGAAGACTGGATTTGCAGACCGATTAATATTAAAAAAACGGTGATGTTACGTCTTTATTGGATCTGACAGGAATGGTGCAACACACAGACTCTGAGTCGAACATATATGGGCGAATCGTTCCGGTTGCCATTTTACAACATTGGACGTTTTCAAAACAATTTCCCCCAAGTGTATCAACGGCTGAGTTGAAACTCATTATAATATGCAAAACTGTTATCCACTCACAGCAGTGGGCGTTTACTTCCAAGTCTTCAATGCGAGACGCCCATAAAAACCGAGCGTTTTTGAGTTAGGCTCAAAACTAGGGTAGAAAATAGCCAATTACCTATTCATTTTGATGTTTTTGAATGCAAAAACCAAGCGAACATCATAAGTTGACCTCAGACAACAATATAAAAAAATTAAAAAAGCCAGTTCATGACCCCTTTAAAGGGGGCACACAGGCATAGTGACATATTGAATGATATGAGACTTGTAAGTATGCAGGTGTATTTGTGTATATGTGCATAATCTTTGTGGCTTTTTCTATTTTTTCTTCATGCTTTGATGTAAAGATGCCATAAATTCACTGGTTAGTGACTACTGTGACAATGGAGCACTTTGATAGCTGGCTCTGTTTGGATGCATCTCCAGCGGGGCAGTGTATGCCTGGCATTCGCTGATGGGCGGTGTGGGAGAGTGACGTCACAGAAGGAGGTGGTTTACGCACAGAGCAGCGTCAGTATATGCCCGATATACTGTATACGTCACTATGTTTAGGGCTGAGCCTGAAATGTTTTGTTGATACAAGATATGAGAACGCCAAACTCTGACTCTTCAGTGGACTTCTGAGAAACAATCAAGCAAGCAGGTTGTTTCTTCATTGGAAAATCTGGGAAAATTACAAGTTATTTGACCAGTTATAAATCACCACCTAGTCATGTGTCATAGTCATAGTCAAGCTATTGCTCATACTTACTTTGAATGTTAAAATACTCCTATTCCCATTTAAGAGGTAGATACGACTATATGTAAGCTGATGATAGTTTAATTCCCTTGAAAAATGGTTATTGGCTGATATTTTAGAGATTTTCAAGTATTGGTATTTTCCTATCTTTTCAGTAATGATAATATATAAGCACTATTAGATGCAATATTTAGCTAAGTATAAAATGAATATCCATTATTTATACTGTGCATTAGTGTTATTCACTTGTAGAATTTTAAACAATTGATTACATTTTTTGTCTTTTTGTTTATTTACTCAAAATAATATATCGTTTTAATAAAGATCATAACATAAAAATAATTATCGGATTACCAGTACTGGACAGAATTTTAATTTCAGTGTATCCTTTTTTAAAAGTGTAAATGTATGCTGTGTGGCACTATCAAAACATTGCTCTGTTTGCTTGAATCCCGATCGGCCCGACACAACACTGACTCAACCAATGGTGTAACTTGGGGTGGGACCAGCTCTAAGGCCAATGGCAGATTGCTTTTTTAATAGTTTTGTTGCAATGTATGAAGTACATCTCTGACAGAACTCACTTTCAAAACAAGCAGCTTTCATTAGGTTAACAAAGAGAATTCCCATTATCAACTGAACCCAAAGCTAATTGTGGAAATCACTCAAAATAGAAGTGAATCGACGCAACTGATGTCGTATGGCACATTACAATGACAACATGGCAGATGTAGTACGTCCAACTTTCATACTATATAGAAAATACTTTTTTTAATCTATCCTGAAGTAAGTTTCAAACCAAGTGTAGTACCTACTATGGTACGTGATCAAACGCAGCACTAGAAACTTCCAGACTGGTGTATTGACGCAACAGGCAAGTTGGAGCTAAACTTTTCGGACATTGGCCCTCCAGGAGCAGGTTTGTGAATTCCTGCTCTAGAAACTTGCCAGAACATCTTTCCAACCATTAAAGCAACATAATAACACCTGCCACAAGTATCATAACAGTCATTTTTTCAAATGGTCTTGTGCCACCTTCAGATTTGATCTCGGCTCACTCATTTTAAAATTAAATAATCAGCAGGTAATGAACCACCCACGGTGATCCGGCTCTTCTGTATATCAGTCCAGCTGTTTGTAAGACAGCCCATCCCAAAACTCTGCTCTCCTGGAACTGAGTCAACCTCTGGCAACTGCCCTGGTGACAGAGCCTGAAAGTGTTCACTGACCAGTATGAACCACAAAGCTTGTAGTGTGTTTGCCCCCCCTCCACCGCTGAAATGTACACTGTGGGCTAAATACTGCTTCAGTACTATCTCAATAGGAGCTGCTTTGCTTATTGTACCTCTAGTACAATAAGCTTTTCTCCATAGTCTCTCTGGGTTGTCCTTTCTACTCCGTGGCCATGTACTGTATAGTTTGTGATGTAAAGCAACTGAGGACGTGCCTGGCAGGCTTCAGATGGCTTTATCTAGCATAGTGTGCATACTTAGTACCCCATCCTTCTCTATCAGTACTCTTAAATTCCACTTCCTTTTAGCAAAGTCATGCTTGTTTGCATATTGGTCTTCTGAGGCACCCCAAAAAGAGGAACTTGTTCAAATAGGGACTCCCCAGGACCACAGAATAATACAGGGTGTGGGCCTTTATTTATAGTGGGGTAAAAGGCATGGAGTGAGGATGTTTGAGACATTTCCAAATTAAAAAGACAACTCACATGAGCTTTAAAAGAAAAACACCACCTGACTCTCACATGACTTCCCCATCACACTCATCGTTACTTCTGAGTTGTATTTAATAAGAGCCATCGGTCTCCTTGTGGTACCATAGGAATGCCTTAGGTTTTTGATATTCTTTCAGGCAATTTGAGGACACCTAATTGACATGGATTCATCATATGGTGGTTAAATGGGGAATGTGGTTATAATAGCTAAAAATCTTAAAATATTTTTTTGTACACAGTGATTTTTTTTCTATTTTAGGAAATGTCAAGTTACGTGATTTCTCTTTTAGGTTCCTCTTTAGGTTCTATACTTTTATTCTGTTATTAATTTAAACTTGAGGCTTTATATTGTGATTGTACCTTATAAATATGTCAAGCCACAGTCTATACATTGTGTGTGTGTTCTGGAAAATCCATCTTAACCATGTAGCTGTGTTTGAAGATGGGGGCTTGTTTCTAGCTGCTTTAAGATGGTCAGAAAAGATAAATATATATATATATCATATTATTTATTAATTAATTTATTCAGAATAATTTCCCCGATAACCCTGTAAGGGTTTATTTTGTGATTACAAAAGTTTGGGGTCAGCATTTTTTTGCTGTTGCAATGTTTAATTGATCGCAAATACAGATACAGAGTGCAATATAGTGGGGTGGTGATGGTGCAATGGAAAAGACACATGCCTTTGGTGTGAGAGACCCGGGTCCGAATCTACTGTGAGACACCAATGTGTCCCTGAGCAGGACAGTTAACCACTGGTTGCTCCAGAGGCGTGCGACCTCTGACATATATAGCAATTTTAAGTCGCTTTGGATAAAAGCATCAGCTAAATGAATAATTGTAAATGTAATGTAAATGAAATACGCATTTTAAAATGTGATTCAAAGCTGAATCTTTACACTGCTCCAGTCTTCAGTGTCATGGTCCTTCAAAATTCATTCTAATATGATATGCTACTCAAAAACCGTTTTTATTATGATATTGTACTATGTATAATATTTTTTTGAAAGCCATGATTTTTTTCAGGATTCTTTGACAATTAGAAAGTTCTAAAGAACAGCATTTATTTGTGTCTCTCTATATATATATATATATATATATATATATATATAAAAAACACACAACTTTAAACCTAACCCTATTTTTTTTTTTAACTAAATGTTGCTACTGATACTGTTTTTAAAACTATAAATATACAGTATAATACCTTGGATCCATTTACTTCAAATTCTCTTCCTCTATTTCCTTTGCAGAAACCCCACCACTCTTCGGGCTGGACTGCGCGGCGACAGCAGCCCGCCCCCCGCGTCCCCCAGCCATGTCGTCACGCATCGGCCTGCGCCTGCAGCTCATGCGGGACCAAATGCAGCAGGAGGAGCAGCGGGAGCGGCAGCAACAACAGGCAGCATCCATGCATTACATGCAGCATCGCATGCCAGGCCCAACTGCACCCTCATCAGCCATCACCGCACCAACTCACTTCCAGGCACCCATGCAGGTGCCTGTTGAAGTGCTAAAGGTATATCCATCATCATGTGTGTGCTCATCTGAATTTGGGTGTGATGAAGCGAATTAACAAAAAGGAAGAAAAGCGCTTTGTCAACAAGAGTCAACAATAATCATATGTACATTAAAGACTACTTTGGGAAAGATTTACTAAACAGGGCAAATTAACATGCAGCTGCAATCTAGTAAAAACGCAGTTGGAAGAGGAAATTTCTGCAGAGAATAGGCGAATCCAATGTCATGTCAGATACAAAATGCTGGAAATACCACTAAATTAGCTACTTAAATTAAACCAAAATAAATAATCTCCGTCCATAAGTTTTACTGTCTGACAGGGAAACTCCTACAAATACACATGCAATATGGTCATCCGCAAAAAATAACTGTGTCCAAGCTTTTTCAGCGCTAATTTTTCACTGCGTCTTCAGTAAATATAGCAGTTTTTAATGCCAAAAGAGGGTTTGCACGGGCACAAGATTATTAGTATCTGCCCTTTTGTGTTTTAGTACCTTGGCATTCATTTTCATATTGAATCTATTGATATTGGATCAACTGGTACTCCCAAAAATATTTTGGTTGTAGTTTCTGTTCACCACTATAAAAGTTTATCAAAACTTTACCCACTTCTGCTTCAACCCCAGAAATGTGAAAAATGTCTGTTAGTTCGAAACCTTTTTTTTTTTTTTTTTTTTTGGTTTTCATGAAAAGCGTGATAGGTGTTTGTGGGAAATACTAAGATAAGAAACGCCCTCTCCCTTAAATCTTGCCAAATTCCATCTAATCATTGTGCAGCTATGTGTTCTGTAGTATGAAAGAGCTCCCCCGTGAGACCCTAATCTTGCCTTCCATTGGGTAGTCTAGCCGTGCTCCGGCCACCCCAGTGGTCCCAACTGGATGAATGAGTTCTAAAGAGTGCACGAAGACCAAATTAGGCAAGATTAAGTACTTTGGTAATCTCCTCTTATATTGCGGTGAAAGAGTAGTGGGCAAAGTCCAGAAGTCAGTGGGTCGTGCAGGACTGACCACGGCTTTGGTGTGCCGGATTACATTTCAACCAAGATCAAAAACAAAGTAAGGAATATTTGTAGAAGAATGCGGTGGAACGGCAGCCAGGTAAGAGGAAAGAGGGGCCACTCTGACATGACTTATACAGAGATAACGCACAGGAAGACATTCTTACAGGTGACATGTTTCTGTCTGATTCCATCTGTATCCTGGATTGTTATCAGTTAGTTTAAAGAAAGCGACTTTGTGCTCAGTGTACGTACATGGAATTTTGAGTTTAGGTGTGTGCGATGTTATGAAACTTTGTACTTCACCTACAAGTTAACTTAATTGTTTTCTTCATTCTTCTTTTAGAGCATGACAAAACATCTCCAGTTTTTTTTTTTTTTTTTTGGGGGGGGGGGGGGGATCTGTAAAGTTTTAGACAGTTGAGGTTATGGAATGTATTGTAGAGTTATTTAATCATTTATTGTAGTTACTTCTTGTGCTTCTTTGAATAGACAATAACAGGCTTTGTTATCTGTTCAGTTAATTGCTCAACAACTTTGTGTGTGGTAGGCGACAAAAACATTAAGGTTTTAAGACAATAATATCAATAAATTTCTTAGGACCCATTAACAATAGAGATACAGACTCATAAACAGTTTGACTGTTTATATATGTATAAACAATTTTTAACTAAATTGCTTCAAATAATAAAATAACAATGATATTTATATAATTAATAAGCTATAATGCATATTATGGTGTTAATGTTTTATATTAAGGTCATTTAATTGTGTTTAAAAGCATAAATAAAACTACTACAGTTCTAAAGTTCAGAAAGGTGGGGTCAGAAAGATGTTTTTAAAATAAGTCTCTTACGCTTAAGTCTGCATTTATTTGAACAAAAGTACAGTGAAAACGGCAATATTTGTGAAAAAATTATTACGTTTTAAAAACGCTGTTTTACAATATAATCTATTTCAAAATGTAATTTATTCCTGTGATGGCAAAGCTGAATTTTCAGCATCATTACTCCAGTCTTGAGTGTCACATGATCCTTCAGGAATCTTTCTAATATGCTGATTTGCCGCTCAAGAAACATTTGAAAACATTGAAGTTGCCTAATATATTTTGTGGAAACCATGATGCATTTTATTCAGGAATTGTCAGTTCGAATAAACAGCATTTATTTGAAATATACATTTTTTGTAATGCTATGCATGTTTCTGAATCACTTTTGATCAATGATCAATGCATGCAAACTGTAGTACATAATTTAAATTCAGTTTAAATCAAATAAATAATGACATCTGACAATTGGCATGTTGGTTATCATAAATCAAGCATTAAAATAACCTGTATCTTGATAATAAAGTAATATTAGTCGACTTGACTCGTTCTTTAGTTATGTTTAACTGAGCCAAACGGAACCTGTTAGGCTAGTTAAGCCTCTGTTTTGCTTAGACCAAAGTAGTATTACTTTCTTGAGTGTAAGTGGCAATACATTTTGCTACTAGCACATTATTGCTAATTTCCCATGCGGCCAACCACGTGTTACCTAAGGATTAAGCAACAGTAGCTCATGTTTCACACAGAGCGTATTACCACCACAGTTCCTAGATTGAATAAAAATATCTAATGAAGAGCTCCATGCTAGATGCACTTCTAACCACAACTAACCTTCTGTAATTTCACCTCTGAGAGCTCAGTGCAACTGGCCCTACCCAAAATTGCTTTACATAGCCTTCATGGAGAGGTTTAACACCAGGGAATTGCCCTCCCAGACAGTGTCCCCGGTTTATAGCTTGTGTGTGTGTGCGTCCTGTATCCTTCACTTACACTGCCTATAAAAGTTTTACTTGCTCCATCATGTTCTTTAATCTTACAGTTAAATAATAGAAGTGATTGGACAGAAATGGAATAATTTGCAAGCTTTCATCCACTAATCCTGAGGCTTGTTTTCATTCTAGAATGTGGTTGATGTTTTGTAGCTGATATTTTCCATCGGTATACAGGCATTGGAACACAGTTTTGTTGATGTGCATGCCCGCTCAAATATGAGCACAGTTCACAGACAATATGTTGCTTTGCTAACACTTAAATCCTTTTTTTCTTTTCATCACTGCACATTTATCACACATTTTATCAAATGTCAGTTTTGTGTTCTAAATCACTCAGTTAAAGACAGTCTGGCTTTGAAGTGAAAGAATGAGGCCAGTCCAGTCAGACGTCAACCCCGCTCTGAACCTCCACCAGCAGGTGCCTGTGTGATTCATTGAAGCTCTCTAGAGGCTCTTTCTGGCCCCTGTGTGCTCCGTACATGCCTAGATTTAAAGCCCAGTTATGTAACCATCTATGACTGTGGCTCTAAAACATAGATGACTGAGACTGAAGGCTTTGGCTTGTTTTTATTTTTTTTTGTTTTTGGTTTTGTAACGGTGACAGTTAAAACGCTGTACTTTCCCCTGGAATTGTAAGTCATGAGACATTGATATTGAGATATTGCCAGACGATGCACACATTTTTAAAATACTTCTGTGTTTAATACTCAATGAGTGGCTTTAGAAAATGCAAGTTATTGCATTCTTACAGTTCTTATATTTCTGTCAAAATATATTTCCACTACCGTACATTTGGAGAATGTTTTTGAAAAAAGTCTCTCTAAGGTTTAATCAATATTACTGTTTCCTATTCAAATACAGTTTAAAATGTATCATGATCCTTCAAAAATCTTTCTAATATACTGATTTTGCTCTCAAGACATTTATTATGATCAGTTTTATGATGTAGGGTTTTTTTATTATTTGAAATATTAATATATATGCTTTTACTGTCACTTTTGATCAATTTAATACATCTTTGATGAATAAAATAATTAATTTAAAAAAAACAATGTTTACTGTATGTTTTTGAACATACCGTAAGTGTACTACTATGTACTATTAGTGTACTACTACTATTAGTACTGTTCTATTATATTATAAAATCAATACAGGTTTAGAATGACAAGAGTGAAAACATGACATAATTACATTATATTATATTATATTTTACAGGTGCAGACCCATCTTGAGAACCCCACAGACTACCACATTCGACAGTCTCAACGGCAGCAAGTCAAGGAGTACCTGTCCACCACATATGCCACCAAGCAGGCAGTACACGCAGTCACAAGCTTAGTACAGCCCTCTCCACCCACCATGCCCCAAGGTCAGACAGGAACCGTCCCACCAACCATGCCCTCTACTTGCATGCGCACTGAGCAGCTCATGAACTCCGCTGGGAACAGCGCACCCAACAGTCCCATGGCCATGCTCAACATCGGCTCTAGCCATGAGAACGAGGTAGTTTCTTAGTTTTCATACAGTTGTGGGCTGGAAGCATGTCCAGGCATGTTTGAAATAAAGACATTTCTCATAACATATCTACACATTCAATTATTCATGTTGATGTCTCAACACCTTTAATAAAAAAAAAACAGTTGCAGTTATATATTTAGCACCATAGTTCCTCTTTCAGTTCACAGAAAATGACAATGTCTTGCTCATCTATCATACGCTATGCCTTTTATGATTTTCTCCATTTCTCACCCTTGGTTGGTGTTTTTTGCCCGGGTGCACATAAAGGTCAGAGTGTTAACTAACTTAACTCCATTGTCATTGGTGTTTAAGTGGCCAATTATGGCCGTGGAGGTATAATTACAGATTAAAGAGTGACAGGGAACCCAGGGCAGGATGGCCCTTTGGAACGAAGCAGACTTTGGTCCTTCCTTCCTTCCTCCGCTCCCAATGCCACCAAATCCTATGGGATTCTAAGTGAATGTTTGCTTGTGGCACACTAACAACCTTTGTGAGCTAAGCTACAGAGGGATTATGCCTGTACGGCTCTTCTTTCATCTGTAATATTACAATTATATATTTACTCGACACAGTTATTTTGGAGAATTTAAGGCAAAAATCTTCAGAGAAAATCAAGAGAAAGTGTACTTATTTTGTAGAATGCAAATGCACAAGGTGCCTAAATCCTCCTTATGTGTTTTTGACAAGATGGACGAGGTTATTGATGACATCATCAGCCTGCAGTCCAGTTATGATGACATCCAGGCTTATATTGACCCTGTGGTCCAGATGCCAAACACAGTAAGTAAAGACTTCACTCAGTTCAGGCCTTTTAGATGTTGATATTGTCGCCGGTGACTAATACAGATGACTGAATCCCAGAAGGTAAGTGGAAAATTGAGTGAATAATTCCTGTTTGTGATGCACAGTCTGCGTCTTCTTGTCTCTGAATAGGTCTATTTTTGAAACCCCCGCAACCTCGTACTTTGACAATGGAGGAATTATGCTGGATCCATTTGTTGTGCTGCTTTTTTATCAGGGTTATAGGGATGAAAAGCATCTTTGTCTGATTTACAAAAGTCACATCTAATTATAGCAAAGCTCCATCTCAGTAAAATGAAGCAACTGTTTTTCTCTCATGCAACCTCAAAATGCTTCATTTTCTGTTTAGACTCAGAGAACTTTGCCGGCTTATTTTTTTTTTTTTTTTTTTTTTTTTTTGTGTGCTTGATTTATTGGATAACTGATATTAGGACCTTGCCAGCTTACTTCGACATGTCTCGGGAGGAAATGTTTTCAGTATTTAAAATGTTTAATTGACTTAAAATCGTGGCCTGATTTACTCAAGGGAAGACATTGCGTTGGAAATCAGGAAAGTGGGAGCACTGTGCTTTGTATTTAAAGTAACTGCCCAACATTAACAATTAAGCTGCTCTCAGTTAGAGTTCAACTTGTTTACAAGGCATTTCGTGAAGGTGGGGGAGCAGGGGGGAGGTTTGGGAGAGAGAGGGCTGGGGAGGGGAGTCTGAAAGTCCAGATAGGGGAAAGTTCAGTGTTTAGTGGTTAGGGAAAGTAGAAGAGAGAAGGTCCCTGGGCGGCTCGAGTTAGTCTCTTCGGGGAGATCTAGGGTGAACGACAAGTGTGCGCAGCAATGAGAGATTCAGAGGCCAATATGAAAGACACAAATAAAACTTATGCTATTGTGGAGGTTATCGATGGAGAGAAGATTCAGCTGGTAAGGCCTACTTTTTCCCATCACTCTCCTTTCTGCAGGCAGAAGAGGGGGGTGGGGTTGTTTAGTCTTGCTGCTATTTGTTTCTGTGCGTCTGATTCCTAAAAACAAGAGGGACTTGCCATGGGCGCTTTAAGGACACCAGTAACCTTGTCACACACATTTAACTGTACACTTATAGCAGGTTGTGCTCATATATCTGTAAATGGCTCATTGTTTATGGCTGTTGTTTAGGTGGACCTGCAGGGGAGCAACTGAGTACAACAGTTTCAACTGTTAAAGATATAGTTCACCCATTAATTAATTTCTGTCATCATTTCCTCATGGTGTTCCAAATATAGACACACAGTGGAAGCCAGTGGGGTTCATTGATGTTTTGGATCTCAATGATTTTCATTATACAGACAAAATATGTGTCCCACAGAAAAAGAAAAAAAGCAATACAGGTTTGGAATGACATGAATACATGATGACAGAATTATATTATATTATATTTAACAGTGTTTATTTTTCACAGTATTGAGTGAATGCGTCTGATTGAATCTCCTATTGATCAGTGTTCGGAATGATTGATCTTTGGGTTCCAGATTCTCTGACGTCACGCATAAGGAAGTGTTTACTTCTGTTTACCAGCAACATATCTACCTTGCTATTTTTCCCAACCATTCTTTCCATATGCAAAGGTTTTCCTTGATAAATGATGTTATTATGCTTATCTCCAGAACGATTAAATACCTAATCCTGGTGGATTTGTAATATGGCCATTGAAAAAGCAAACGGGGCAAATAGTCTCAGATTTGATGAGGTACATCGACCACTTTGCTCAATATTTAGTGTGCAAGCTTTATTTTTATGTGGGGCTTTAGAGGTCGGAAAATACTTGGGGGTGAAGAGGTGAGGTTTCAACTCCTAATGAGGCCGCAAAGGCCGCCTCTGACCCTGTTGACCATGCCCTCTTTGATCATGGTTTCTTTGATCAGTGATTAAAAACCTCTAAAAATGGAATACCCTAAACCGATTGGGCATCAAACACTTTGCATTGTGCATACACATATTTCAAATCATCGCCATTGTTTGTCAGGAAGCACCATTCATAAGTTCACACCCTCTTTTTTAAACATTCCTCTTGGATTTTCTCATCACATCCGAAATGCTAAATGAGCCATTTCTGTTTTCTCAGTATGTCATCATCTCATAATATGAGGCGTGCTTCGCCGAGAAATCGATCGTAAGAAAATCGTAAGGATTTATGCAACAGTGGTTGCACGTTTATCCAGAAGTAATGGCTTTGCATAATGGGCACCAATCTGATTCGTTACTGTTGATTTGTGTTTGTTTGCCTCCGTGCTTCACAGTAGCTTCTGTGATAAGGTATCTGAGCTGATTTATCTGTTACGGCTCATTAGGAGCTCATAGCCGGCTCGCTTACAATTATTCTCTGTCACTTAGATGGAATAAAAGATACAACTGGCATAAAACCATAAAGACCCAGATAAGAAAGAACATAGTCAATCATTGCTCTCACCTAGAAGCAATAGCAGAGTGTGATATTTTTTTGTTTTATCTCCATTATCTCAAGTGTTTATGGCTTTGCTCTAGAGATAAGCAGAGTGTTTATTGGGTTTCTAGTGATTGTGATGATTTACCAGGGTTACGCTGAATATAGCTTCATAAAAATGCCATTTGCAAGACAAACTAGTTCTATCTCCTTTAGTAAGGCCGGATTCACATATAGCGCCTAAAAACGCGTAGAAAACGCTGGGCGCGCCGCATTCTCCATTTTCCAAAGCGCCAGGGCGGTTGCGCTTCAGTTGGTTCTTGTCACATGACCTATTGTGTGCGTATGGTGCGCTTGCGGTATTCTGAAAAGTTGAGATGTTTTCATCTCGACGCGGACGCGCATGGAAAAAACGAGCGCGTCGCACCGCGACCGCACCGCTTACATACCGCGCGCCTACATTTGAAATAACGAACTTGAGCGTGCAAAAGACGCGATGTGTGAACCGGCCCTAAGTAAAGCATAGATTGCAGTAAGGACATGCAGTAGTCTTCAAATATAGGGGAATATGTTTTTCAACTGTACCCATGGTTTAGTTTAACTGATACTCAATGGTTTGAAAGATTTTTGTCTTTGTAGCTTTAAATACAGCTGTTGTCATCTCACCAAGACTCACATAACTCTTTTTGCACCGTAGCTCCCGCTTTCCAGCAGCCATTTGGATGTGTACACAGGGCCAGGTATGTCCGGATCAGCTATCGCCATGACCAGCAACTCCTGTCCTGCAAATCTGGCCATAAAGAGAGAGCTGTCAGGTACATTCTCTAGAAATGTACAAAACAAAGCACTGCTGCACACACTGACATTACTGTTAGGAACCACATACAATTTTAGCTATGGCATCAAAAGTTCCAGAAACAATCTAAAGTTTAGACACATTATTAGCAATACTACCCAGACTTTAAACTATTTTACTATAGTGGTCAAGAATAAGCCATGTAAATGAATAGGAATTATGAACCAAAATGTATCTAATTAAATAAAATAAAATAATTGTCAACTAACTTCAACCATTATCCCGTGTCGCCTTATTGTTTTCCCCTATTAAAAACCATAATATATATATATATATATATATATATATATGAATATTGAAAACATTTATTTTGCTAAGAAATACAAATGTGGGATTGATTTAATTCTTCTACAGAATTTATATACTTAATTTTTTTTAAGATTGTCAGGTAGTATATACCCTTTAAAAAGAGTGCATGTAAGTGATCTGAATGACATGAATTATGGGAAGCATAAGCATTTTGACATCAAATTGGTGAGAATATTAGATCATACTCAAAAATGTTTGTTTTATATCATGAGTGTTGTGTCTTCGAGTAATTTGTTTCCGTACCAACCAAGAAAAAAAAAACAACAACTGCAAATTCAGCAGAGCCTAAAAGACACTGCTTAACATCTATAAGACACAAGAGAAACTTTATCACATATCTCTGCTGGATAAAATGTAAGCGCATTTCACTATTCCAAAGCAATGTCATTTATCATCACTATTGCAAAGCGTCATAAATCCAGTTACAACATTTGCGTGTATAGCAAAACTTGTTAGTTGAAAGTATTGCCTTTTGTTTTTGGCAAGATGCTGAAGTTCGGTGTATAGCTAAACTTGTTAGTTGACGGTATTGCCTTTTGTTTTTGGCAAGATGCTGAAGTTCGGGCAATGGCTAAAGAGAGGCAGAAGAAAGACAACCACAACCTGAGTGAGTATGCTCTTTTCCCCCCTCATTTCTTTCAGTTTACAACCCCTCACAGTTTAAAGTACACTATCTCCGCTTGTGCCCTGCCATTGACACCCCCTGTCACCACCACCTCTGGGCAAATTTAGCTGACAGCACACTATACTTTGGTCTATCGTTAACTCGGACAGATCCTGCTGTCGTGGCATTAAAATGTAATTGCCTGTGGCATTTCACAAGTATTGGAGTTGTACAATAAGAAGCTTGGCCTGTTCCCAAGTACTTTGGGATAAGAGGGTATATATATTGCTAGTGCATTATAAACAATTTACACACCAGAACCGATCTCATTTCCCATCATTAGATTGAGTCAGAAGACAAATAAAACGATGACCAAGGTCAAGGTCAGACATCATACTATAGAACTGAAAGTGTGTATGAGAAAGAGTAGGCTCGATTTTTCATTTTCTCCTAATACTACTAATTTTTAGTATTATCATACTAACAAAAATGTTTGGGTTTTTTTTCCTTTTAGTTGAAAGGAGGAGAAGGTTTAACATCAATGATCGAATTAAGGAGCTGGGCACCATGATTCCCAAAACCAATGACCTGTAAGTTTGTGTTATTTATTTGAGCATTTAATTTCATACTGACTAGATGTGAATGTTATAGACTTGGAGATGAACTGTAGTATTCTTTCACTGATAAGCACTTGACCTCCTGTGTTCAGGGATGTGCGCTGGAATAAAGGCACTATTCTGAGGGCCTCTGTGGAGTATATTAAACGCATGCAGAAAGACATCCATAGAACCAGAGAGGTGGAGAACAACTTCAGGAGGATGGAGATGGCAAACAAACAGCTGTGGATTCGTATTCAGGTGAACATTTATTCAGGACTTATGTGACATAATATAGTCATTACAAAAAAAAAAAAACCTAAAGCATCCGCTAAGAATAATAGTCTGTGACAATATGGAAAACATTTGGCCTAGCAACAAGATATATCATATCAGTTCCTTGTTCGTCCATCTCTTTTAAAGTAATGAATGTTTATTCAGCAGGATGCATTAATCTAATCAAAAGTGGCAGTAAAGAAATGTATAATGTTACAAAAGATTTCTATTTAAAATAAATGCTGTTCTTTTGAACTTTTGTTCATCAAAACATCCTGAAAAAAGGTATAATAGTTTTCAACTGTTTTCAACATTGATAATAATAAGAAATGTTTCCAGAGCAATATTAGGAATGCACAATATTAAATTTAGGCTGATAGTGTTTTTTTTGCTGATCGTTACTTTTATGTTATGAACAATGCATACAATAATTATAATAATTGTTTAGGGTCCCACTTTAAATTAAGTGGCTTTAAGCACTATGTACTTACATCGAAAAAATAAATATTATGTACTTATTGTGTTCAGGTTATATTGTAAAATACTTTGCCTGTTATTGAGGTGCAATATGGGTAAGGTTAGGGACAGGTGTGTATGGGTAGGTATAAGGGTGGGGTAAGTGCAACTGTGTAATTACAAATGTAATTACATTGATTAATTACAGCTGTAATTACATGCAGGTATTTTCAAAATATAAGTACAATGTAAAAACATGTATGTACACAATAAGTCCATCGTATAAAATTATTAATTTCAAATGCAAGTACATAGTACTTAAAGCCACACTGTGTGATTTTTACCCCCATCTAGCGGTGAAAAGGTATATGACCATCCAGTGAATATTAGTTTCTGTTCCTCTCAATTCCGATTTCATTTTAACTCCTACGGTGGCCAATGTAGTCCAAGATTAACAGTTCAACCTTGTCCATGAGTGTTAACTGAAACGTAACCGCGAAAGGCGAAGCTTTAATTAACGGGTATGCCCCTCTTTGGCTAATGTATTTTCAAGATGGAGGGGCAACATGGCAACCGACATTAGAACCCCTTACCCGTATGTATTTTCAATGGCATATTATACACTCACGAGAATACTTTATTACTTGAACGAAGTAAATATACATTAATGAGCACATATATTTTTGTTGCTTTAAAGCCACTTAATATAAAGCGGGACCTAAATATTTGTTTACAATCATTTTAAACATAATTTTAAAGTGAATTCAGGCACCATAACATTATAATGTACAGTATGAAAAATGGATGTTAACTTCTACATTTAAAGGGGGGGTTGACTGCTTTTTTTCTTTGCATGATTGTGTTCATGGGGTTCAATATAACATGTATTCGTGGTTTTTCGTTTTTAAAAAGTCTTATTTTTCATAAACTTCACGTTTATTGTCAACCGCGCTATCCTCTGTCCTCGAGCGAGCGGTAGACTTCCTGAGTCTATGAAACCACTCCCTCAGAAACACGCAGTGGGCTCAGATTGGTTAGCTTGCCCCGGTGTGTTGTGATTGGCTAAACTGTCGCTTACGTTGTCTGGAAAGTTAACGCCCATTACCTTTACGGGTGAAACAACGAGCACGTCATGACCTCCGGTCCTGATGTAAATATGTGTCGAACTGCAGTATCAGTTTGAGGCAGAATCAGACCAAGAAAGCCGCGATGAAGAGAGTCAAACAGAACCTCACCACACACGGCTCTTAATAAACGTTTCTAAATGATAATTTGCCACATTTTGTTTAACTTTATAGACGTTTGTTTTACACAATAGCATCTGATTGGCAACAATAGCAACTGACTGGCTACTAATGTTATACTCAAACAGCGTTGGCAAGTTTACGTTCTTGATCAAATCGAAAATAATGTGTGGCGGGGTCCTCCTCCAAACTCCTCACAATAAGGAAAAACAGGTGTAGTCGAAAAATAGTGTACATTTTATTATGCCGTCACTGAATGTGGGCCACACATAAATATCAAATTTACTGAAAATGTTAACAAAATAAATGAAAAATATTAAAATAATTCAAACTATTAATAAAAACTTTAATTGGATCTCAAAGATACCAAAATAACACTAAATTAGAACAATACAAACTAATTAAAAACCAACAATCTAATATGGACACATAACCAATATGGTATGTATATATTTGTGTTTCCCTACTCATACAAAAATGCATTAAAAATGACAACTGGTATTTTGAGAGATACTAAATTGACCATCTTATTGTGATCAACTTGTGCTTTTTCTTTAGGAGCTTGAAAGGCAGGCCCGAATGCACGGCCTCCCCAGCACCTCGCCCTCGGGCCTGAACAACACTGAGGTTCTAAGCCCCTTCGTCAAGCAGGAGAGTAGCCCTGAAGAGAACCACCTCACACATCAGCCCCATCTCCCTCCTCACTACCCCCAGCATCAGCAGCAGCAGCCCCTGTCCCACCCTCAACTCCACCAGCACCTCCACCCCCAGCCCCCACTGCAGTACCCAGCAGTGGGCAGCTCCCAGCACTTTGACTATGCCCAGTCGCTGGACTTGTGCAACGGCGGCGGCATCCCAGGATATCAGGATGGCATGGGGGATCTCAGCACGTTGGGTGGAGGTATCGCGCAGATGGGAAAGAAGAGTGAGCTAGGCTTCTTGCTGATGGAAGAGGCCCTGTCGCCGCTGGGAGGAGACCCGCTGCTGTCTGCCATGTCCCCCGATGCTTCTATTGACAGCAGCCGCCGTAGCAGCTTCAGCATTGAGGACTCAGACATACTGTGACCTGGACAGCCTTGGGTGCCTCTGCACCACATTCATATGATCACACACACAGATATTGCATTTAGTCTGGCACACGGGGAAATGGGGAAAGGTGCGTTTTTGATGCGTCCTGCCTCCATGAATTTCAAGTTTCAAGCTCATTTTTATTTTTTAGTCTGACATTTTTTTCCTCCACAAATATCATGCACGTTGATCCATTCAACTAAACAAAGATAACTGATATGCTTGAATTCTTGCCCCCAGAATTGTCCTATATCGAAACTTTTTGTGACGTGAAGGCCAAGTATAAACCCATATTCGGAAATTGTCCTCTGCATTTAACCCATTCAAGTTAGTGCACAGCACACACATTAGGGTGAACACACTGAAAACCATGAACACACACACCCGGAGCAGTGGGCAGCCATTTTGCTTTGGCGCCTTGGGAGCGATTGGGGGTTAGGTGCCTTGCTCACCTCTGTCATTTTCTGTCGGTATTGAGAATCGAGCCAGTAACCTTCGGGTTACCAGTCTGACTGTACAAAAATATGTACTCCCGCTACATATTGTCTTGAAGGCTATGAAAACTTTTACACTCCATGCAATATACCAGTATATCTTTTGAATAGTCCAAACTAATTTAAATCTGGCTTTCAGATACACGTATTAACCCTAGAATTGTAAGTTCAAACCACACACTCACAATCTCTATCTGTAGAATTATATATTTTTCACTTTGACATCTGTCAGCCTTTCCCATGAGTGAGACTGTCACACTTAATGCCCCCTAAATCCAGACAGAAATGATTATTGGAGCATTTTTTTTATATCACCACATCTGAGCTCTTAAACAGTGCCTGCTCTATCAGAGCAATATGCAAAGGCAGCTTATCCTCAGACAGTTTATCAAAACGCAGGAAGGACAGGGTTCCCACAGCCATGGAAAACCTGGAAATATCAAGGAATTGTGTTTTCTTAATTGATATTAATACATAAATACAATCTTAGTTGTATTAATCTTAGTCCTAAGCCTTTGAGTGAATCTCTTTTTTTAATTATTTGAGTCAAACAGAGTCACAAAACAGTCGGAATGATTCATTAGTGAATCAGTTTGAATTTGAAGGATTAGTAAAAGTGACACTGAGACTTGAAAGGTCCTGGAAAATTCATTGGTTAAAGTGTATGGGAACTCTAGGGTGGCCCTGTAATGTCCTTGCAGAGAAATTCAAGAAGAAAATGGACAGGTTATACTCGGGTGTGACTCTCCATCGATATGGAGAGACTTGGGAATCAAAGAAACCTGCTCTATTACCTTTTAGCATTAGTTATAAACAAAAGGTAATAATAAAATCTATTACCTTTTAGCATTAGTTATAAACATATACACACACACATATATATATATATATATATATATAGAAAGAGAGAGAGAGAGAGAGAGAGAGAGAGAGAGAGAGAGAGAGAGAGAGAGAGAGAGAGAGAGAGAGAGAGAGAGAGAGCTGCTTTTTGCAATGTTGAGGCTTCTTTTTGCATAACAGGCCAGATCAGGTGCTAGTGTGTACGTTCAGTGCAGTGCAGCAGAATGCAACAAATTAATTAGTTAGTCCTGTTGCCACACACTCCTAGTAAGGTGCCTTAAAGCCAAGGCCAGATTCTTCAAGAAGCACACACTCAAATGCCCTCTCGTATTGGCACGCTGTAAAATAAAGCCGACAGCTGCGAACGCCCGTTTGTTCAACTGAAGTTCATATTGCCCAAGGTGCCTTTCGGGGAACCTGGATCAACATGAAATTTGATCCAGCTTTTGAGCTGTACACTGAAGGATGTTTAATATATAGGAAATGTACATGTATTATTATAGGTTTTCTCTTTTTCTTCTTCTTCCCAAAGCACTGGAAAAAAAACTATTTTAATTTTATTGATATTATAAAGATTTTATGAAGTGAGTTTTATTTCAAATGTCACTAAGCCATTTAAATGTACTTTATCAGACCTTTTTTATTTTTTTCTATCACTGCCGAGCCATTAATATGTATAAATATTTCTGCCATTCTATTATACAAGTGGCAAGTGCAGAGCCATATTATATTTTTCTTTTCTTTTTTGTGTGTGTGTACAGAATCGTTAAAACACACTAGAATTTTAAGAGTTTTAAAGAACAATGTGTACTGTTGTTTTTATATTGATTTTATTCATTTTTTAAGAAAAAGACAGTTGAGGAAAAGTGGTACTGTTGAGTAGTGATTCATTCAATTTTAATTAAAACATTGAGAATGTGAATTGTATGTATTGTACAGTTAAACTAAGGTGGCTGTGTTGAACATGAGCTTTAATAGAACCTATGCGCTGTCCTCAGAAACAGTATGATGCTCCTCCAGTGTCTTATTGCCTAACCACCTCTCCCTGTTTTACTGCTTTATTGTTTTAAAGGTAAAGGCTGAAACCGCACCATTCAAACCTCATGAATTAGTTTTAAAAATACTAGAGACACTTTTTGTGATAGTGTTATTTATTCATTATCATTAGAGGTGTATGTCTAACTGGATCATACACCGAATTCACCCGAGTTAAAACCAGCCAACAGCTCTTATTAAGAGTTTGTTACTCTATGCAAATCTTTGACTTGGTTAGTTAGAATAGGCGTTAGCGTTGCAAAATAAGCAAGGGCATTTTGGATAGCATAGCAGGAAGGGGCTTCTAATTTTGCTTGTGTGACATTTTTGTTTTGTTTTAGCCATGCACCAAGAATGAGAAGGTTTGCCATTTAAGAATGAAGATAAATCACTTGAAGTAAAGAGTGTGCTTTGGTAAAAAAAAAAAAAAATCTTGATGATTAAAAAGAGAAAAAAAAAACACTTTAGCATTTGACAGCATACAGCATGCTGAAAGACAATACAAACAGAATGTGTCTCAAGTTTTTACCAAAACCCTCTGAAGGCATTGAGAATGTTTCAGTACTGTGGATGTGTCATGTTTATTATGGGATTTGCTCTTTCATAAATCTCTGGAAGTAAATGACACCTCACATTAAATGTATTTAAGTTGACGGTGTATTGATTGGCTTGTGTGTTTTGTACACTCAATAATGGGTTTGTGTATGAATTGAAATGAGAAGGTACTTAATTTGAATAAGTGATAAACTACTATGAGTGTATGTAGTATGAATGTAATCCGGCATGTACTGTACTACATCTACCATGTTGTCATTATGTGACCTACCTAAAAATGTACACAGTCATTCACGAATCCTCTCCGTGGCCTCATGGGATAGTAAAGTGCCCATCTCACCGGAAATAGTAGGTCCACAGTGTACTTTTTCCCTTCTCTTTTATAAGTAGTGTGAATCCGAACCCACACTTTGTTTTTCACCTACTACTGTATCGGCCAAAGTATGAGATTTCGGATGTAGCCATGGGTTTTAATGGTCTTTAGGACAAAGTGCCACGTGAGGGCGCTCTACACCAGCATTCTGAATTAAAAAGTAATCTTTTAACTTAACGAGGAATGGAATACTTTTAGTCAGTTAAATGCTGACTGAATTTGAATTAATATATTGTATACTCAATATAATTAATTGATAAACATTTCAATCAGTATGCATCGTCACATGATCTCATTACACTAAAGTGATTGTCATTTGAAATGGTACTTTTATTTATTTACTTTTTCATAATGGATACAGATTATTTCAAATTTTAACTTCTGACAGTTTAATCAAATTAGTTAGGAAAGAGGTGTTGAGTTGCATTTTAGTATGCTATTATAGAATTTATTAGCCTACTAATTTTTATTACTATTGAGTTAGATTTATTTTTTATATTTTCCATTTTAATAATATTGTATTTCAATTTTTAGTGACTTTGTGTGCTTTTTATTAGTTTTATTTAGTTTTCTTAATATTAAAATAGCCTATAGCTCCCAATTAAATTTTTATTAGAGATTTATTTCTATTACCAAAAACAATTTTTTGTCGTTTTAGTTAACGGTAACAATACTACTAGGTAATTCAGATATTCCATTCATTCATACAAAAAATAGACTGTGTTGAGTATGGATTCTATATTCTGCAGAAACTGCAGTAAAGTAAAATGACAGTAGTCTTCACTATTCGGAATTAATGTTTTCAGCTTTCAGTAGGCCTACACACTTAGAAAAAAAATCAAAAAGCATACGTAGTAATTAAATAAAACGACGAGAGGAAACATGCAACAATGACGAAAGAAATAGAAATAAACCCTGGGAAACATTGAGTTTTTGAGCTGACCTCGTTGTTGTGTCTTACACCAATAATTTTAACTGTGTATTATATCAGATTTCTAATCAATGACATAACAGCATGCAGCTTGATGTGTTTAACACCATACTTCGGTATGGCACACATTTCTAATTTTTCAAGTTATAAATAGATTAAATGTGAACATGAACTCATTACTTAACTCAAGCATCAATCTTGACTAATCTGCCATAACCACTTAATTTACCCATACACTCGTGAATCAAGAGATCATCTTCCGTGGGAAATAGACTAAAGCAGTCGCCAAGAAAACAAAACACGCTGTATCCTCTAGGGGGCACCAGAGAACCGTGAAACTCCCTCAGTGCAACCTCATTTATTTCCTGTAACAATTACAGAACAGCACTGCAATGCAATTAACCTATTTTTAAATACAATTTTATTAGGGCGGTTTATCCCAGATAAAGAGAGGCTTAAAATAGGACGAGGTGAGGAATAATTAGCTTGCAGTCATCTTGCCACCTCTCACGCATCTGAAACGTTCTTTCCGAGACCTGTGATGCTTCATTAAAACGAGTGAACTGTAAACAGAGACTGAGAACAACTGTAGAATTAATCTGCTCTTTATGATTGGCGTCAATTAAACTGACCGTATGCTATATCATCTAAAGAAAACAAACAAAATTCCACACGTATTAAAAGATAAACATGACTCACTTTTATAGGAAAATATTTACATCCAATTATCACTAGTGTTTTTTAGGCCTTGATCTAGACCGGGGTTAACACTTAACTGAATACAAATACACACAATTCACACTCCAAAACACTTCAGTGCATTCATAACTTATTATTATTCATTTGTGTTCTTTATTAGGCTATATATTGCATATTAAATACTACCAAAATTGTTTGTAAGAAAAAAAAAAAGCTTGCTTCCAAAAGATGTTTAATTGCTCTATGGTGGAGGAGGAACTGTTATAAATGTTAAAGACCAGCTGTTTAAAACATGAAATAGTCAGAAATCTCTCTCTCTCTAGTACATTTTCATTTAAAAAAATAACTGACAGTACAAAAGTTATTATTATTTTAATTTAGGCATTTACCTCGACCTGAAGGCGGACATTTTACCCAATGAAACTAAAAAGCCTTTGGCTTGCAAAGAAAGTGTGACCTATCAATCATTGGGCAGAAGGCATTCAGACTGTGCAACAGGTTTTAATTATTTAGAAAATGATTGTATCAAATATGATAATGTTGGCTTTATAACCAGCAAAACCCCAGCTAGCTTGCGATTTGACCAGATTCCCGTGAAGTGTGGTCTACAATGCAAAAATACAAAAAGAAAAAGTCAAAGAGCAGCACTTTCGAAATAAGAAAAAGGCCCATTGAATGTGGAGCTTGTATGTAGTTTTCTACTCACTAAAAGGGCTCTGGATATCCAACTGTGAAAGTGTGGTCTATTTTTCATCTGTCAAAGTAAAAGGTGCTGGAGATTGTATCTTTAAGACCGTATTTGCTCCTGCCGTGCACATGGATGCATGTACACACTCACACACTCATTCGCCAAGCCACCATCTGCATCAAATCGGGCACTGGCATAAAGAAAGTGCCGTGCAAGTGTGGGCTGTTGGTGGTCTTCCTTCTCTCAAGTCCTGCCCCATGATTATTCAACTTCCTTCAGACTCTGAGAACTGAAGATGCATATCTGACTTAAACAGCCCTTCTTGTGCTTAAATCAAGACAAATCGGCTTATTCTGATCCAGACGTCCATGTGTCTTTAAGCTTCCTCAGGCCCCAGCCCTGGCGAAGCGCCATTCAATGCCTGTTCTTTATGATGCTAATGGACTTCCATATCTAATAAATCCCTGTAGATTTGAAGTGTGGAGATGTTATGGCCCGTTTGTTGGAATCCTCCCTCCCACCCCCTTCAATACAAATACACCTTTATTCATTAATACACCCTCCAGCCTACCCCCCCCCTCCCCTCCCCTCTCCTCCCCCCTGCTCCCCGTCGTCAAAATACATGCAAAAAATGCCTGACCAGCACATACTTCCTCATGGTTTCCTGACGAAAAACCTTGTAAGTTTGAGGAAGAGAAAAATCAAATGTGGAAACATAAATTATGGTACAGGAGGGCTTGTGTTACGCCACAAGGTTTTAGCACTGCTGAAGCACGTCTGCCCTGGTGGTGGCCTGGGCGGGCTCTACATTTCCTGCCTGCTCTGGTGCTTTGCAGAAAAGCCTCTTTGGTGCAGAAGGGGGGGGGGGGGTGGAGTGGAGGAAGATAAACTAGAAAAAAAAGGGGAAATTTTCAAATAGGTCTTTTTTTCCCCCTCAACAAACGAGAAACATAACAAGGGATTCCACTCATGGAAGGGAATTATACCATTGTGTCAGATTTGTTTTCTTACACATATTATGATTTCACCTTTCTAACTTAAGTGTGTAATATTGCTGTTTCAGCATAAACAACATCTGTGAAGTTACAAAGCTCAATGTTCTAAACGAAGGGAGATGTTTTCTTTGAAAGAAATGACTTTTTAAGGACTCCAACAAACTGCAGGTAGGGACTAGGCTACACAAGCTTCCTACCGGGTTAGTGACATCACAAACCTTAAAATTTACATAAACCCTGCCCCCGGAACACTATT